CAGGCCTAGAAGTTTCAGGTTGTCGTGTACGGTCAGACAGAGCGGGTGGTGGATTGCTATCTAGAATGGAGTCTTCTTCCCCATCCGTAGAGGCGTCATCTGCTGGTAGTACATTACTCACGGTTGCACTCTTCTTTGCTGACCGCAAGTGTGGAGGAGTAGACTGAACCTGAAAGTCATCGTCATCATCGCAGTTTGATGGTTGTTGTGGAGGTGTGACGGTCTGCTTCTTTAAAGCTGAACCCTTGGGTTCCTTTCGTTGGAGTCTTTGGCTTGTCGGCAGGAAATCATGCCACCATTTGTCTAGTTCAGGAGACTTGTCCACCTCTAGTGTAGAACGAAACTCTAATCCAGTATCACCGAACACGTGCTGTATAAGGTCATTCACAGAACTTGGGCCGACATCATCTGAGTCAAGCTCCTTCTTCCACCGCTGCTCGTTGAACGGCGCCAGACCTTTGACCCGATCCTCAGCGGCAGCACGTGTAACCTTTTTTCGGCCAGATAACGCCGTAAACACATGCTCCAGTCCAGTTCCCATTGCTTCTAGCTTGTCCGATAGCTTGGTGACCACCGCATCCTTTTCTGCAATCCTCTGGATTAATGACTGTATCTTGTGTTTCGTATCAAACTGTGCTTGAATCAGCGGTAAGACCAGATTGGTTGCGACTGCGGAGGGCGATTGCTTCTTTAGATGTATTGGCCACTTCAATGCATGGAATCCTGGGAGCGGACAAGTTATCTTCAACGTGATACCATCGTCTGCGGCACCCGAATTGTCTTCTGGAGCTAATGTAAGGCTCGTCTCGTCATGTCCAGCCAGCTTAGAATCTAGTGCCTTCCTCAGACACGACAGGAATGTAGTCATGTTCTCAGCGGTGTCACTGGGATCGATGCTCGTGTCCTCGCTCCAACCTCTCATGCAAATGGCTTTCCTATCCAAGCTTTCCATCCATATATTTGCCATGTCACTGACACGGATCACATATGAAGACGGGCCTGTCTCAAAGGACACCAAAAGCACGGGAATGCTGGATGATACCGGTAGGGGCAGAAATCGCCACGTCCCTAGCGTCCCTGAAGCCATAACGGTACCTAATAACCGGTTCTTTTGGTTCAGATGATTGAATATGGCAGCACCTCACGCACTCATGACGGAAGTATAGGCTTTGAGACCACCCCTGGGTTGAGATCTATAGCGAGGTAAGACTGGAATAGTCCATGAGGCCGAGCCTCGGCGAATACAAGCCGGAATTCAAAGTGAGACTTACAAGGGAAAAGCGTATATTACACAGAACGAAAGGGTGTAGGGGCGTGTTTGGCGAAAACTCGTAAGGCCTGTTACAGACGGGGAGCAGGGTCCGGACCAGAAGCCGACAAGCACAAAGGCAAACCCGGGCAGTTCAAAGAGCAATGGCGTTTGTATCACTTTGATGGAGTTGATACAAGCCACGGACCCTGTTCACCATGCGCAGGAAGGCACCTGTATCGCTGGACTGTGTCTCGGCTCTCAAGGAGAGGAGGCAAGTGGTGTTTCTCAAATTTGGGTTTCGGGAATCCGTTGGTGAGTGGCTAGACGCTGCTCGCAAGACTCAGACTGAAAGCTCGGGATTAATATATATCCATGGATTTGTGGAACGCGTCACGGCAGCAGTCTTGAGATGAAGCCGCACCTTGTTGTTCTCGAAGCGAAAGCGAGCGCATTGTCCCAGGTCCATGTGTGCAAAACCCCCAGCCATGTTATGTTAGGCTCCAGGGCCAGTTGTGTAACCAGGGAACGTCTCCATACCATGTTTTCCTCGTGCTCCCTGATTGGGCAGCTGCGACCAGCTGCCAACAGTAGCTAACAGCTGTCATAACCAAAAAGGATTTTAAACGTGACTTAGCAAACATGCTTGTACTGGGAGCAGTTAATTGAGCGACCATGGGAAAATACTAGTTGGCATGTGCAGCCATCGAAACAATAGGCTATTCTTGATTGATTTGGACAGGTTATTTTCATGGAGGTAAGTCGGCAGAGAGCATGTGAGCTGAGTGACCGACATCTCCAAGAAGAGAAACGACGTTCCGAAGCAGGAAGAAATATGCGCGCCGTCATACAAGACTCTTAAACCCCTTTACTTGATTGATCTGATTCATGTAGATCCAATTCCAACACAAGCTCCACGATACAGGGTAGGGTATTCCTAGACATATCGATCGGCAGATGGAAAGATGCAAGCTGCAAACCCGATCTTGGGAAACCTTTCGATGCGCTCCACATCGGCCGACTCCCACGCCATGCCATCATCGACGCGATCGAGCCTTAGAAGGAGTCGTTTTGCCATATGGACTGTGTGATCCCCTGAGCAGTTTCATCCTGCTGCCATGACATTTTCTACTTTAATCTACGTCATTTCATGCTCCGCGCAGATGTGATCAACAACCTAGATGAGACCAACATCACTTGTGTCGAGCTTTCAGTTTTGCCAAAGATCAATTCCTGCGCGCCTTTATCCTACAGACCTGAGTACCGCATCTTTCCATCTCCGTATTCGCCGCCGTAACAATTTCGCTACCATGGCTCGAAAATCATCGAAACGCAAGCCGTCAAGTCCTGACCACACCAACGGCAATAGTGCTAAAAGGTCGAGGAATGCCAATGGCCTCCGCGAACCCCATCCCTTAGCTGCAGAAGCTGAACGGCATGGCATCGTGCTTCGCAAGTACTATCCACCAGAGATGAGCAATGCGCGAGCTCGCGCATACAATAATAACGAGATTCCACGTCCCATGGAGGACCTCGTCACTGCTCTGTATAATACCACAGAGCAACGCCAGAGGGTGGAAGCCAAGGATTCTGTAATCCATTGGTTCAAAACAGATTTGCGGTGTAACGACAACAGAGCCCTTGCCCTGGCCAGCGAAAAGGCAAAGGAGACTGCCGTGCCCCTGATTTGCATGTACATTGTCAGCCCACAAGACTTTGAAGCGCACCTGACCTCACCCGTGCGTGTCGACTTTATTCTACGAACTCTTGAAATTTTAAAGAGGGATCTGGCAAAATTGGATATCCCCCTCTATATCGAAACGGTGGAGAGGAGGAAGCAGATCCCTGATAGAGTATTGGAGTTGATGGAGCAGTGGGGAAGCCGACACTTGTTTGCAAACATGGAATATGAGGTGGATGAGCTTCGCCGGGAAGCAAACATGGTTCACGACCTTGCAGAGAACGGCAAATCGTTTGAAGTCGTTCACGACACCTGCGTTGTGCCGCCTGGACAGTTGCAAAGTGGCTCTGGAAATCAATATGCTGTCTATTCGCCATGGTATCGATCATGGGTTGCTCACATCCATGCCGATTTGGACTTGCTTGAATTATTTGATCCCCCAAATAAAAACCCCGGAACGGCGAGAAAACGGTTCAAAGACCTGTTTGATTGCGCTGTTCCAGAGGCACCATCAAACAAGGAGCTCACAAAGGAGGAAAAACGGAGATTCCATTCCCTGTGGCCTGCTGGTGAGAATGCTGCAAAGGAGAGACTGGACAAATTTTGTGAAGAAAGGATTGGTGGCTATAGCGACAACAGAAACATTCCTGCAGAAGATGGAACGTCCTCTCTGTCGGTACACCTGGCTAGCGGATCTATCAGCAGTCGTACGTGCGTACGCACAGCTAGGGACAGAAATAAGACGAAGAAACTAGACGGTGGCAATGAAGGTATTCGAGTTTGGATAAGCGAAGTCGCTTGGCGTGACTTTTATAAACATGTGCTCGTCCATTGGCCCTACGTATGGTAAGTATACCACATCAAACCACAAGTTGACATTGCAGCCCTAACAATCATTAGCATGAATAAGCCATACAAGCCAGAATACTCCAACATTGCCTGGTCTTACAACGAAGAGCACTTCAAAGCTTGGTGTGAGGGTCGCACTGGGTTTCCCATTGTTGATGCTGCAATGCGACAGCTCAACCACAATGGCTACATGCATAATCGCTGTCGAATGATCGTTGCCTCATTCTTATCAAAAGATTTGCTCATTGATTGGCGCAAGGGCGAGCGATATTTCATGGAGCATCTCATTGATGGCGACTTCGCCAGCAACAACGGCGGCTGGGGATTCAGTGCTAGCGTCGGCGTTGACCCTCAGCCATACTTTCGAATCTTTAACCCACTTCTCCAGAGCGAGAAGTTTGATCCGGAAGGGGTGTATATCCGTAAATGGGTCCCAGAACTGCAAGATTTAGACAACAAGGAAATTCATGATCCATATGGCCGAGGAGCAGGCGCCAAGGCAAGGAAGGCGGGATACCCGAAACCAATTGTCAATCACAAAGATTGTAGAGACAGGGCATTGAACGCATACAAGGAGGGAATCGCCAATGGCATGTAGAGTACGATGCGAGTTGGGACTTGGATCATTCTATGTATATTAATCAATACCTGAGTTAAGATTTGCGCTCCTTTCAAGGCACGTTAAAATGACATTATCACACTGTTTGCGCATGTCTGACCCGTATCTGTACTTTGGCGCGAAGCTTTGTCACCACAGCTTTTTGAAGGCCAGAGTTTAATCTGCGGCACGGAGACTATCGAGGTAGCCCCAGAATCCTCGGCCAAGAAGATCAGCGACAAGGCGCCAGCCTGAGGAGACTTTACTAGCCGGGTTTCGTGCGTAAAACATAAGAAATTTCATCGTCACATGTAGAAATCACGTCGGGACATCCAAAACCGAAAAGGTAGGTAGGTGTTTTGTGAATTTTAGCTTGTCTCGGAATCGAGCCCAAACGCCTTTTTGAATTGGATGTGCTAAATGCAGCCAACTCTAAGATCCACAACGCAAAAATTCCTTCATGCCCGACCCAATGCCCTGGAGAATGCCAATTAGAATCGTCATGTTGCCATAAGATTTTTGTCTCGTCTCCTCGTTTCAACCCTCTCCCGCTCGCGCCGCTCGACTCGAAATAAGAACAGTGGTGTTGTCGGTTTTTATTTTCTTTGTCGTTCCAAGCGTGTTTATCGCTGAGCGCTCCAGACGTTCTTCAACAGACCGTCACGCTGAGCAAGACGGTTCATGGAGTCGTCGGACTCGCCCATGGCGCGGACGAAACCGCAGAGGGCATAGACGTGGTTCTCGCCGCTGATGGCACGGCCGTTCTCATCAACCTTGGCGATGCTGATCTGGACGGAGCCGTGGTCCTTGGCCTTGATGATGCGGTTGGTGGCAGAGCACTTGCGGGGGACGTAGCTATAAGACCAAGTTAGTTTATTCGTATTCTATCGAGAGCGATTATGATAATAACTGGTCGAAGATGACGTACAGGTCCACGATCTCGCCACGGTCGTTCTCCATTTTGTCGGTTGTGTGGTGACGGGGGTGTCTTGGGGTTGAGTTGAGGAGTTGTCCGACGTCGATGTGGTCGCCAAAAAAACGCTTGGAGTTGGCCAGACAAATTTGACATTGCTCAATAATTTCGTGGAGCGGGGAGGGCTTTCTGTGCGTCATGTGATAGGTCACCTGATAACGCGGTGCTTTCGTGGAGTCCTGCCCCTCGTCAGAGGCTAAGATCTTTGGTTCCGTATCCACCTCCAATTTACGCGTTGCAGGATCACCCGATGCTGGCAGGAGAGCTTTCCTCACATCGTATCTATCGCATAATCGCCCGACAACATTCTGCTGCTCCGCAGGGTCTTGAGACGCGCTTTGCGCTCTCAGACCCATGTCTCTGGGGCAATGGCATCTCCCGATGTGTTCTTGTCTCCCCCGCGGGGGTCGAGGCGACACGTAAATATGATTCCGACCTCATCGCCAGATTTGCCCACTGTGCAAGATATGTTGTCTCAGAAGCAAAAGCGACCCGCTATGCGAAGCGGTAGCAATTCTGCGCCTATTCCTCACGATGCGGACTCGACCTTTGCGAGTGCGCGAGAGTCATGGCAGTCTGCACGGTGCGCCGAGGCTAATCAGTTGAGCCCGTCTACTACACCTAAGAAAGTGATTATAGTGGATGATATTGATACCCCCGTATGCACACTAGAACATGAACCAGAAGCAGAATCACCGCGACGAAAGTCCCATGTACCGAAAGGAAGTGCCAATCTATCCAGCCCAGGGATATTCGAGTTGGTTGACGAGGAGGTAACTTCACGCCAACCATGGAAGAAGTACAAGCCCAAGACTCCGGAAAAATATGCCAGTCCACGCGGTGCCTCTATGGAGAAGGAAAGTCTCTATCTAGTCGCAAATCAGACGACATCAGAGAGAAGAAGCCGCGAGACAACTCCGTCGCGAGATCCACCAATGTTGGAACAAATGGAAACCACGAAATGTAATACGGAAGAGCCATTGCTGTTAGAGCCTGCAATGATTCGGAGAAAGGATTGGACGCCTCCTACGGAGAAATCAGCCGTTATTCTTGATTCTGACACGTCACCAGTACAGAACGATCTACATGCGACTGACGAGAATGATCCTGATAAGTCGTTTGGTAACATTGTTTCTGCTTACATGTGCACCAACGCTACTACTCAAGAAATAGAAACACATCAGGGTGTTGAATCGAATGCGCAGAAAATTAAGACTGCATTTCAAGAAGCCGAGTCAATTCCTGACCCTCCGATCACCGGGAAGTCCGTCACCAGACCAAAGGCAATGCGGAAAAAGGCCAGAACTATTACCGGCCTCGCTACAGCCGCCTACAGGCAACCATCTCAAGTTGAGCCTACAAATGGAATACGAGATGTATCGCCTCTTACAAAACCCAAGCCGTTAGCGAAGACGACGAAAAACACCAAGCCTCGTAAAAGACAGTCGAAAGCGAAGAAAAAGCAGGAACCGCCAAAGCCGGTGTTGTTCTCTCCTGAAACGGCATTAAGGCAAGTTGCCAAGCAGGACTTTGTATTTGGAACCTCTAGCCAGTTAGCTACAGAACAGTCACCGACGTTTCTGAGAGACCTGCACCTTACGATGAAGAACTCAAACCAGCTCGACTATGTTGATTTCACAACTCCATTGAATAGCGACGCTATTGAGCCACCCGAAGGTCGGTCAAGGCTTTGGAATGCTGCAGCCAGAGATGCAGACGGTGATCTGTTCGACGTGGAAGTGGTCAACCTCACTGAAGCCAGCCCGGAATTTCCAAAGACGCCGGGTGCCATAGACCCCTTTGGATATTTTAAAGGCGACGATGCACTAACTCCATTTCATGCTTCTGGGTCCACAATAAGTAGCGATAAGGGGAAAGAGTCAGTTGCCGATTTGCCAGCTATCCTATCTACCGCAGGATCGCGAGCGACATATACTGCAACGAATAGTTCAAATGCTCTCAGTGGCATGGGGCCAAGCGTACAGCAGACGGGAAAGCTATCAGTCGCCCTAGAAGTCACAAGCTCGCCGGAACTTGCAAGCAAAGAGAATACGGCACCAAGAACTGCAAAACATCATTCACGACCGACATTCGAGCATTTAACCGACGCGCAACTGTCGAAAGAGATATCTCGGTACGGCTTCAAGCCAGTAAAGCGCCGTTCGGCCATGATAGCTCTTTTAGACCAGTGCTGGCAGCAGACCGGCAATGCCAGCCAGGGGATCCGAATGGTTTCCACGACTGCTGCCATTTCCCCCACGAAACGACCGCGCGGCCGACCAAGGAAAGATTCGGTAGAAGTCAGCCGGACACAAGAGCCCCCTCCATCTGCGCAAGCTCCCGAGACACCAAAAAAACCTAGAGGAAGACCAAGGAAAGATTCACAGACGACACCGGGCAAGCAAGCGGTGTCGAAACGCACTACCACGCCAACAAAAAAGCGAACAGCCGGTAGCAACGCCACTCCTAAGAAGGCGAAGGCCGTAAAGGTGGTTGAGATACCGGATTCGGAATCTGAGCTAGCAGATACTTTGGAATCATCACCACATTCATCATCCAGCTCAACACTTTCTTCCCCGCGTCAGGTCGACCTGGCCATGTCAGTTGACAATGATACAGAGCTCTCGCTTACAATGACGCCTACAGATGTACAAGCCTGTTTGTTTACGCATATCACCGAGGCTGTCACGACTGCACCACGTACTACGGACCCCGCTAATCCATCTTGGCACGAAAAGATTCTACTATATGATCCAATCGTGCTGGAGGACTTGGCGTCTTGGCTCAACAGCGGCCAGCTCAGTCGCGTTGGATACGATGAAGAAGTTAACCCTGTTGAGTTGAAGAAGTGGTGTGAGTCAAAAAGCATCTGCTGCTTGTGGAAGGTGAATTTGAGGGGGCAAGAGAGGAAGAGATATTGATTGTCTTGGCGCATGGACGAAGAAACAAGATTTTGTTTAGGTATTGGATAGAGAGAAGGCTTGTTATTTTATGCTCTGGAGTATGGAGTAGGTGCCGCCAACTGGCGAATGATAGACCAATTTGAACAATAATACTCGAGGCTGGTTTTGGTACCTGCATGTGCCTCAACTTACGGCCCTTGTTGGCGCAGCTGGAGAAGCAGCTGGGGTTCTGGTCCCCACGGTTCCCACGTGCAGACTCTTTGCAGACAAGCGTGGATATTCGGGGCTCCGTTCTAGCTTGCGTGGAGTAAAAAACCACCGTCAACCGATCAACAACCCCAGACTTTTGGCTACACATCCCAAGCGGACCTCGGCTCAATTGAGGCCCCCGCCATCTCGGTCACCCTCATATCAGATGCCTTGACCCGACTTCATCAGGTATATATGGCCTGTTTACTACATCCCATGTGGAGGCGACTGGCAGCGCATCAGACCATCCAAAGCCATTCGATACCCTTCACACGCGGCAGCGCCATCTTATTAACCTCATCACCATTGGCTCTCAAGCCCTCACCACTTCGCACAATGGCCTCTCAGACGCGTGACGCCAGCTCCAAACCAGGCGTGCAAGAGCCCCGTCCCAGCTCGTCTGTTCTTCTGCTCTCGCCAACAAATGAGATATTGCTGCTGCATCGAGTAAAGACCTCGACGTCATTTGCATCGGCGCATGTCTTCCCAGGCGGGAACCTAGATCCACTCCACGATGTCGACGACGGTGATATTCCCGGCCCCGAGAGCGCCGAGAGACACCGGGACGGCCCAGCCTACAGAATGGGCGCTATAAGAGAGACGTTTGAAGAGACGGGGATCCTGCTGGCGACCAAAAACGGCGCGCTGGTGAACCTGTCCGCCGAACAGAGGGACGAGGCGAGGAAGAATATCCACGGAAACAAAGTCAAGTTCGGCGACTTTCTGAAGTCGATTGGCGCCGTGGCCGACACAGGTTCGTCTCCCGCCACCGGCCGCCGTTTGTCATGACGGAACAGCCCATGCTAATGAGAGAAACTCCAGCCGGCCTGATCCCCTTCACGCGCTGGATCACGCCGACCAATGTGCCCAAGCGCTTCACCACGCAAATGTACCTCTACCTGCTCCCCATATCCAAGAGATCGGTGCCGTCGGAGATTCTGCTGCCCACTCCGGACGGCGGCGTTGAGCACACGGCCGCACAGTTCGCGCCGTCGCAGTCGTGGCTGGACAAGGCCGCCGACGGTTCCATCATCCTCTTCCCGCCGCAGGTGTACCTCATGAAGATACTCACTCGGTTCCTGACGGGGTCAACGTCTGCCCTGGAAGAAGGGCCGCTGCACTACACGGCGCAGCGGAAGAAGCTCGTTTCGTTCCTGAGGAGGAGGGTGACTGCGGAGACGGACAGGGGCAAGCAGCATCCCACGGCGACGATTTCATGGGCCGACAAGGTGATAAGCCCGCATCACTTGCTGTTCAGAGAGGAGGACGGTCGCGTAGTGCTGGGGCTGGATAAGCCCGGCCCCGAGCTGGAGGGCAGTGATAGAGGCGGTGATTGGGAGAGGGTTGCGTTGGTCAAGTTTGGGCGAGGGGGCCCCTCCGAGGTCGAGATTAGAATGAGGGAGGAGGTGTTGGCGGAGCAGAGGGCGAAGCCGGATGCCAGGTTATAGAGTCTTTTGTAGTCGGCGGATACATGGCGTTTTGGTGTGCGGCTTGTGTAGAGGCATCTTGGGTTGAACGCACAGCATATAAATGTACAAATGGGAAGCAAGAGTCCGGGTCGTTGGCAGGTAACAATACCGGTGTATCGTGCAGCATATTTTTAGATGTTGTACTATACTAGCCTACACGGCTGGTAGATGGCCTTTTTTAGCAAGCGTTGCGGCATATTCTTCCACATTGTGTCACGCCCGATCAACAGTCATCCTCCAGACGGAAACCTACCCGGTACCTCTGTTGATAGATTTGACAAGCCCAAAGCAACCTAACCGAATTGTTTCGTAACTCTGAACCACTGAAAATAACTTGCCGTGCTTGGCCAACAATCCTCGTTCATA